AAGTCGACTACAGTTAGCGGTTTAAATGATGGCACACGAATGCGGGCCCGAATTTTCTCGCTTTTCCGTCCCGTAGAGACTCGTTCCCCTCGTTCCCGCGGATAATACCCGTGATTAACGTGTCGTTAAAAAGAGAAAAAAGCGGAAACGCGTCGAGGAAGGTGAGAAGCGTGCATTGTTGAGTTATAGTAATTAATGAGCGGAATGGCGATAAATCAGCGCGATCGATAAATCCCGCGGTGCACCGCCGCCGCCGAATGGAGCGGAGCGCGCGATGCATTCTTTATCGCTCGTGTCTTTCTCTTCCTGTCTCTCTCCCCCTCCCCTCCTACCCTCTCTCTCAATATATGACTCCAGATATCCTTAACCCTTTGAGCCATAATGGGACATTAGCGTCTCATTTATCTTTTCTTCATTTTCAGTGATTTTAACTAACTTACCGGCAAACACGATTATATTATTACTATACACTCTCTCTTTCTTTTTCATAAACATAAGGAATTAAAAACAAGTAAAAAGTAATTTGAATTTTGATTTTGAAGTTTGATTGTTAAATTATAATAAGCAAATAAAAATAAAAAAAGACTTTCAGACAAAAATTTTAGGATTCTAATCATCAGGAATCGAAACATTAACAGTTTAATCAGAACAACACATTTTTTTTTAATTTTCTGTAAGATCTATTTTTTTATAATAAATTGAAATATTCATGATATGTATGCTGCAAGTTTCACATAAAAAATACAAATTTAATCCGCCGTTTCGAATTTTAGCTTTTTGATCTTAAATTCGTAATCAGCGAACCCGAAACCCCCCATATGCTAAATTTGAAGAAACCACCAAAAAAAAAAAAATATATGAAGGGTCAAGACAGTTGTTCCAATATCATTAGCTATAGTTATAGTGTGCACGCGTTTGAAAATCGGTTGTTAGAATATTATAGAGTTTGCTAAACATAAGAAATATGAAATATGAAATTTCATAGAATATAAGAAATTGTTGATATCAATAAAGACTTATGTTCATGAAAAAATACATAAAAAAATTATGTATACTCGAGATCGATGTGTCATATTTATAAAGGTTGCTGATAAATTTTTCTTAATCCTTGGTGCCAAGGGCAAATTGTAAATTTATAAATATAAATCTTGTGCTTATTTGTTTTATTTTGTTTGTTTTATTTTGCTTATTTGTTTTATTCATTGAGCTTATTTTGTTATATTTGTGGATTAATGCATGTTTCGAGTCCTCAATTCCGTATGCGCCTTCAAGAATTTTCTTATCCACCAAGTAAGATAAAGTATCAATGCCCGAATATCTAATCCTAAACATTCTTGTTCATTATTTTGGGTTTTAAATATAAATATTTAAACTTTCAACATAAAATATATATACAAGTATTGAGTATATATTCTATGCTGAAAGTTTAAATATCCGTATTTAAAGACCAAAACAAGATTAAGAAAGTCCAGGTCTAGTTGGATGTTCGAGAATTAGTACTTTTGCCTTAAATCTCAGTTGCAACGCGATACGACCGTAAATGTGTTAGGAGGGTAATCACTCACCTGCCTATTTGTATCGTGGACCAATACCAAGGACGATCCGTGAGAGATGCCAGACGGTATCGTATGGCCTTTCGCGCGTGCATTGCAGCAGCGGTATATTGCGGTCGATTCGGGATGCAAATGGGGCGCAACAGACGAACGCGATCTTCGATTCGATATTGGATTCAGCGATCACGGGCACGTAAGGCAATCGCGAAACTATTGACCTTCCCCGCCCTGCCTTCCGCATTCCGCGGGGCGCGTCTTTGGGGTCGGTCATATCGCGGCCAAACTTTACCGGCCTACTTACTACCTGTTAAACCGCGCGGCGCTTTCGGAAGCGAAAACGAAGGGCGGCTCTCACGTTCCGGGATTAGTCCGGCGCGATTTCACGCCGAAATAAATCGCGTCGTGCTAGTCGTACGAAGACGTGCCGGACAACGTTCGATGCGCGAGCGGAGAAAGGTTCGACCGGTTAACCGACCTCTAATCAGCTACTTAAGCGACGCACCGAGTCCTTGAAAGCGTCGTTGAGAGAATTGAAAATAGACGTTGAGAATAGACGTTAATTACCCCCGACGACTAATTATCACCCGCAGGGAACAGTGTCGTGAGAACGTCCGACACTGCTCCGGAGTACGCCAACCGAGAAGAATCGACGGCGCACTCGATGTTGACGTCGCGTGTGTTGTGTTCTTTTCGAATTGTTATCATTCGCCTTATCTTTGCCCAAGGACAACGTATGAAAACGAAACTTGGTAACTTTCTACCACGCGCGTTCGCGCAAATATGGAAATTTGAATTCTTCCGAACGTGTCAGACACCTATCGCGTACCTCTTCGTCAAGCGAAGACTCGTGCGAGATACGTGATTGTCTCCGTGCACGGAGGTGTGTGCGTTTCGACGTGTTCCCCGAGATTCCGATGCTTTCGTCGCGGGTACTGACGTTTCTCGCGAAAACAATTTTTTGCCTGTCAAAGACGCGCGAAGGAGATGCCGAGCCGGGCGATGATTGCTCGTGGCCGCGGAATTTTGCGGCGCCGTCGCGCCTCTCTGTCGGCGATGACGTGCTCCGGTTTGCGCGAGGACAGTTGTGCGTTACTCACCGAAAGTAATTCCTCGCCACGACGACGGCGGCGGCGGCGGCGGCGGCGGCGACGACAGCGGCGGGTCCGATGGCTGGCGGTACTCCTCCGAAGATCCGGGGAACTAACCAAGAAATCCAGGTATCCACGTGTTGCGGGATGTAACCAGGCACGACACTGTGTTAACACTCACCGAGCACGCGAGCGTCGCGCGACCCGCTGACACGTACGGCGCGCGATTTCACGGCAATGGAATCTCGTCACGTCGCGCGTTTTCTCAGCGAACGGTACCACGAGCCCTCATATCGCCACTCTGCCGAGTGAATTACCAACTTCCCTCTCTGGCTCTCAGCGCTGGGCGTGGCTTAGCGCCGTGGACGGCCGAGCGCGAGCGATCGCTCACGAACGCGCGCGGCGCACGCTCATTGGCGGCCTCGCGGGGACTTGGCTTAGTTTAATGCAGGATTCACACTGCGTCCGATTGCCGACGTACGATATCCAATAGGAGAACAGTTTTCCAATGGAGAATTTAATTCTCTAATAGAAAGCTGTTCTCCTATTGGGTATCGGACGTCGTACATCAGACATCGCACGCGGTGTGAATTCTATATAACAGCATACGCCAATCGGATCCTCGAGATATTAGTTCCGATCTACAATAGATGTAGTAAGCTTTAAGCCTTAAGAAATTGACCGATCACAGTGGAATATAGAGGAATAATCAATTGTGATTGGTAAATTTTTTACGTTTTAAAACTTACTACACCTATTGTAGATCGGGACTTATAGCGTGTTCGATTGGCCCTGAGTTAATCGCTCTGAGAGCGATTAATGACGTTGTAAGTCTCTAGCCAATTATAAAACTTATAAGTAATTGTTCGACCAATAAACGTAGGCTGAATAACCCAGAGTAGGTTAATCCAGAGCCAGTCGCACATGCTATTAATCGCTCGTTGCGAACGCTGCGGAGCATAATCACCGATTCGACTTGATTCTGATTTTAATTTCGGCAGTGATATCTGGCGGTGTGGAATAAAAGCTCGTCCTACCGAAAAAGTTTGAGTCTTGGCTAAAAAAGATTCGAGTTTTGACTAAATGCCTCTTCGCGATATTTTAGGCAAGTATTCAGAGGGTGAATTCAAGAAACACGACGGTTATGCAATCGTTGAGTGAATAGCTGCGTTCAGTGGAATAAAGAGATTAGTGAGTAATCAATGCGCCCATTCAGTACTACAATCGCTCACTGAGCGCTCAGTGAGCTCTTACATCGCATTAGCATATTCTTTTAGATCTCAAAATATATACCAATCAAATGTAAGAGCTCACTGAGCGCTCAGTGAGCTCTTACATCGCATTAGCATATTCTTTTAGATCTCAAAATATATACCAATCAAATGTAAGAGCTCACTGAGCGGTGTAGTACTAAATGCACCCAATGGGTGCGTTCAGCGAACTCAACAATTGCACAACAGTTGAGCAATTCGTCAATGTAATTGGTCTAGATTTAGGGATCTAACAGTAAGAACCAATAATCGCTGATTACTCACTGAGAGCTTAGTGATTATTATGATTGGAGCATTCTTTTAGATTCTTTATGGACTCAGAAATATTTACCAATCAAAAGCTATAATCATTAAGTTCTCCTAGAATGGCTGTAATTAATCCACGCGCTGTAATTGGTTCCATTCCACTGAAAATTTCATGGGAAGCCGGTTTTAGGGATTCTTATTAGATGCTCTTAATGCTTTAAAGTGCTTAAAGAAACGCTACGATGAGTCTATCAGACTTTTCAAAACATTTCGAATGTCTAATAGACTTTTTACAATAAATTATTCTACAATAATCATTAGTTATAAATCATAAAAGCTGGTTTATGATGGCGTAATCCGTTAACTTATGCCGGAGCTGTAAAAAGTTGACCAATTACAGTCGATTATTCTTCTATAATTCGACTATGATTGGTCAATTTTTTACGGTTCTGGCATAAGTTAACGATTACGGCCATCATAAATCAGCCTTAAGCAAATAAACCAATTACAGTCAATTATTCTTGAAAATAACCGACTGATTTGTGTGTTTATTTGTTCACCTTCTGTAAACGATTAAAGCCAAAATAACGTTTGAACGTTTTAGTTATTTGATAAAGTAAAATTATATTGCAAGTTACATATACGCAAATTAAAAGGGAAAATTCGCTTTCAAAATGTATAATCTCTATTAGTGAATCATTTTTTATTTATTTGATATTTCGTGTAAAGGAAGATATGTGTATCTTTCTCTCTCATTTTTTCTAGTTAGAGAGAGAAAGCTACGCCGGATCTGCTATCTATCCTTTTCTACTCGATTTTCACTGCCAAGTAGAGGACATGCTCAGTCTATTAGTTATATATGTCTATGGTTCTTGCATACGTAATGCGGCTTGAAATGTGTTCACAACGCGTCGTTATGTCAATTTGTTAATACGTATTTCTCCATGGTTAACTAAATATGCTTCTAACGATGAACCTACATGAAATGCCAAATAAAGTAGGTCCATAATTTTACATCATCAATCGACACAATATTTATAAATTATATGTGCTTGGAAATGTAACCTTTAAACTTTTGTCACTTATGCAAATTAATGTAATAATTAGTTTGACAACCATTATCCTTGCCCTAAATATGATGACTCGTGATAAATAATGGTTGTAGTATTAAAGAGAATTTTGTATATTGTTTTGAACCATATGCTGTTTAGAATTCTATAATTGTAACCTGATATTCATTGTTTTTAGAGTGAAGCAGAATTAACTGAAGAAGAGAAATGGAGGTAAAATTACAAATTTATAGTAATATAAGAAATATACTGTAATACTACAATATACTTTGTAATATCTATAGCTGATAATAAATATGTATACACATATGTACATACAGAAATATATATGAATAGAAATTTTAAACTTTCTTTTTTTAGGAGAGAACATATAAGGATGCATGAAAAACACCGAGGGCATGAATCTATGCATGCAGAAATGATGCTTACGTTACTGGTGACATTAGCAATAGTGCAGCTTCTATTAGTTGTGTGGAAGAAAAGACATTTTAAGTCATATCAGGTAATATTTAGTACTTGTTGAATAAAAATATTTGAAAAGACAAATATGAGTACAATATTATTTATTCTTGCAGTTTGTGACATTAATAGCCATGTGGATTATTCCATTTGGAATAAGTTTAAAGAATTATTGGTTGAGATTTATATTTTTGTGGCTTTTAATTTCTTGTACAACATGTCTAGTAGTAAAAAAAGCAACCGAGGAACCAGTAAAGGGTACAACACCAAGGTATGCTGTGCAATTAATAATGATACTACATAGACAAAATAAGTACAAAATAATGCTGGACAGTCTATTTCTTGCAGGCTAGTGTACAAGTGGTTTTATTTGATTTATAAGATTAGTTATGCATTAGGTATTATTGGTTACATGTTAACCCTATTTACATTGTTTGGTGTAAATCTTTTATTTAATGTTAAACCTCATGTCTACTTGGATTGGGGCATTTTGTTTTTATTTTATGGCCTTTACTTTGGAGTACTAGGAAGAGATGTTGCTGAAATATGTGCTGACTCAATGGCGTCACATATTGGGGTGTGTTTCATTACAAGATCAATTTTGATCATAAATTAATACTTACTACAATTGTACCACATGTACAATTTTATATCATTTAATATGATTTCCAGTATTATACTCCAGATAGTATGCCAACCAGGGCTCTGGAACCAAATGTTTGCGCAGTATGCGGAAATAAAATTTTGGTCTCTGAGCACGAGGAAGGTGTGATTGAGAATACATATAAACTTAACTGTGAACATGTTTTTCATGAATTTTGCATCAGAGGCTGGTGCATCGTGGGCAAGAAACAAACTTGTCCCTATTGTAAAGAGAAAGTTGACTTGAAGAAGATGTTTCGTAACCCGTATCCTTTTTCGTAATATGCTTAGCAGTGTGATGATGATGTTTGGACATCAGTTTATTCAGCATATTTACCTTAAATCGTGACATAGATGGCAACGACCCCACATGTTATACAGTTATTTGCTAGACTGGTTAAGGTGGCTCGTTGCTTGGCAACCTTTAATCTTGTGTCTTGTTCAAGGTATTAATTGGGCTCTGGGCCTTGAGTAAGTAACAATGTTGGTGAAGAACCAACTGTTCTTACACACATCGTTGTAGCGTTATCTCGCAACATCAGAGAATTATTAACTTATTCGTCTGATCATCACCGTGTCTGTATTTTTATACATGCAGATTGGTACAATTATTTTTGTTATAAAAAAAGAAGTATTAGTTAGGAGATACAATGCCAGTACCAACTAATAATCCTGCTCGTGTCTAGTTAAATTATGTTAATGATAATATTGTATTAATTTATATATATATATATATATTATATATATATATATATATATATATATATATATATATATATATATAT